CATAATTAGTCAAAACGATTTTCATGTCCCTGTCTCAACTTTAGATGTACTATCAATTGATATTTAATTGAAATAAATACAGGGTGGTTGAAAATTTCAATTCTGAACCACCCTGTACCTATTTCAATTAAATATCAATTGATAGTAAATGGAAAGTTGAGATAGGGTCATGAAAACCGTTTTGACCAATTATGAATAGTTTCGACACAAGAAAATCTTATAGTTGAAAAATCTAGATTTTTCACACCCTATTTCTCTGTAATTGTCACTGCTTGACCTCAAGTGTTATAGGTCAATGAAACCAGCTTTCCAGGAGAGAATCTGGAAATGAAATAATGAATAGGGTGTCCCATTAAAAAAATCAAAGTTGTTGCTACTTTTCAATATAAGCGGCAATGGCGCAGCGCAGAGAATATTTTAGGTGGATAGAGCACAACTAATTATCCAAGGCATCAAATTTTCAGAATAACCCCAAGTTACGTTCTCCAGAAACCAGAAACGTCTAATGCGCCTTCCACCGTGAATCATCCTGTATAGGGGCAAACTGCTATGGAATGGACGGGTCTTGAAACGGACAGTTGTCGTAGTTGCTATGTGTTTGTATGACCGCAATGACCGCATATTTCACATTCACATATGGCAACCCTGTACCCAGATCCCACTACGACCGAAATTGCGCGCCGACGCAGTTGATTATGAGTCGACAGCATGCATGTTATTATTATCAGGTGAAAAAGTAAATTATTTGTGAAAATAGTGAACTATGTCACAGGTAAGCTGTTGGAATTAAATCAATTTCAGATTGATGAGATTAAAACTAAGTTACTCTATAGTACATAAATGTAGAGGTAGATCTCGTGGAATATTTCTCAATTTAATTCTCGTAATGTCATTTTGAGGTTAACCGTGTGTTTTTTTGAAGTGGACATCAGACGCTGTGTTGAAGCGGACGTCTGATTCTGATGAAGTTCCGTTGAGTCAACATTCCCGACTTCCAAAATCTAAACCCAACAATAAACAACACCAATTCATACCAAAGGAGAACAAAAACCCTGATACTGGAACCAAAGACGACAATACTGCGATTGAACAAGATAACTGTGTTTGTTGCAAGGAAGGGTATTCGACATTTTTATTGTAAGAACTGTTCCTAAGATAGTTCCTGTTCGAATAAAAGTTATTTTTGAAGCAAAAAATGTTTTTTATTGCGGATATAATTTTCAAAACCACTATACTGTCCTCTTCAAAACCTTCACTGCCCGTTTCAATACATCGATGTTTTGAAATGGACGAAAGCAACTTTTTTCGAATTTGAATATTACTCAGACCATGAAGTTGTCTGAATTTTTTTTTTCAGTTCATTTTACAAACATATTGATGGAACTTTCCGCTCATGCAGTTTCGAATAATTTAAAGGTCTATAAAATTTTAATTCCGTTGTTTTTCTTAAAGTGTCCACTTCATAGCGGTTCTCCCCTACTCAATTAATTATAAGTGAAATGAGGTATTCGTTTTTTTTACTTGATGAGAAACTTATTGGTCGTGTGCTTCAATTTGCATTGGATTCGATAATCAGAAATAAAACGAAGTATATTGAAGTCAATTGTACATTTTATTATTAGAAACACATTAGGTAGGTATTCATTACTGGGAATTATAATAGTGCAAGAAGTTATCTATGCACGAAGATATACATTCATATAATAATTTCTAAAATTTTGTACGTATTGGGGTACTTGATATCTTAACAGCTCTATAATAATTTAGTATTTACAGCTGCGAATAGACAATTTATTGCATTTTGATTCACATACTTGTCAACTATAGTAGTATCTATAGTAGGTACTTACAATATGAAAATTGAAGAAAAAGAGGCATCTATACACAATCGCAAACAATTCGAATGGTATGTACATTTCTGTAATATTTCTAAAAGTCAACATTGCACTAGCTTGACGACAACTTTCATTTTCATTTCTTCGAATAATCATACACTTACTGTCTGGGAACCACAATCCTCAAAAAATATGTTATATGATCTATACATTTTTATTTACAAAAATATAGGTACACAGTTGTCTTAAACATTTTAACAAATTTCTATTATTTACAAAAATAAATCACAATATACATACAATACTGTTTTATACAAGATATATAGGTACAATGATTGAACGAAACAGTACACCCTGTTTATTTAAAGAGTTTCTCTAAGAAAGTTTTTAAGTAACACATAAAACATCTCCACTCTTCGTTATTCACAACACCCACTATTTATTTTCACCGAGATTCAATTCAATACAGTGTGTCCCAACATATTAAGCTATCTTCCAAAAATCGGTGGGTGAGAAAATCTTTGGAAAAAGATGAGAATCAAGTCAACAGTGGTATGGAAGAAGACACCAGAGGAACCCAAATAAGTATTTCAGTTTAGAGCCTCATCATATTTTCGTCATTCAATTCAATTCAATTTTGGAACATGAAATGCGACAGTGAAAATCTGATTCGATTTATGCACTCTGTAGATATACTCCTTTTATAGATTATTATTGAAGATAAACTCATGTCCACTGGGTATTTCTCAAAAGTGGCTCACCCCTATTACTTTCTTGTTTCTATAAATAAACACATGAAATTCGGTGTGTTAGTATAGTTGATAAATATGCATTATTTGACGTATCCAATTGTTTCTGTCACTTCCGGTTGGACCCATATGTTCTTTTTTAAAATGGGACACCCGGTATAGTTTTACTCATTTCGATAGAGAATAACATTGTGAGTACAATATGACACCCCTTTTGACACTTTTTGACATTTATCATCCTGAAATATTCATTTTTCGTTAAGGGTGATTATGATACTGGATATTGATTGAAAATATCCATTATGTGGTCTGAACGTGTTCGTAACAAAATACCCTGTTCATATACAGGGTGTCCCAAAATTGGTGGGACACAGAGCTACCACGTGTAGAGGAGGTCAAAATAAGTTGATTGGACCCAATTTATTTATGTGCCAAAATGTACCGTTTGTCCGTGAGAAGGGTTCAAAGTTCACTTGAAAAAAGACATTTTTGTACGCTGTTCATGAATAAGTGGAACGAATTTGATAAAATTTGGCAATAGTGTATTTCAGAGGATTACTTTCCTTTTGGTAATCTAAGAAACCTAAAAGAAATTGTAGAAGGGTTGAAACCACCCTCACCCCCTGACGTTTTCTTCAGAACTTTTTCAAGGGTCATGATACGGTTCTTAAATTCTTTGAGCTTGAAGACTCATCAATTACCTTCATTTTATCACTCTTGTAAAAATTTCGTATACCAAATAGTTTCGAAGAAAAAAAATGTTTTCTCAAATAATGCTACCAGATATTCCTATAGTAATGGTACCCGCGGTAATAACAAAATTGAAGAATTTATTGAAACATTTACAGACATCGTCAATAACGAACTTAAATGACAATAAATTTGTTTTCTGTCGAAATCACGACTTGCCTGCGTTTCCACTGCCAACTAAGTTTTATATCACAATTTAATTAAACTTGTACTATAGGAATATCTGGTAGCATTATTTGAGAGAACATTTTTTTTCTTCGAAACTATTTGGTATACGAAATTTTTACAAGAGTAATAAAATGAAGCTAATTGATGAGTCTTCAAGCTCAAAAAATTTCAGAACCGTATCATGACCCTTAAAAAAGTTCTGAAGAAAACGTCAGGGGGTGAGGGTGGTTTCAACCCTTCTACAATTTATTTTAGGTTTCTTAGATTACCAAAAGGAAAGTAATCCTCTGAAATACACTATTGCCAAATTTTATCAAATTCGTTCCACTTATTCATGAACAGCGTACAAAAATGTCTTTTTTCAAGTGAACTTTGAACCCTTCTCACGGACAAACGGTACATTTTGGCACATAAATAAATTGGGTCCAATCAACTTATTTTGACCTCCTCTACACGTGGTAGCTCTGTGTCCCAGCAATTTTGGGACACCCTGTATATGGTGATGACCCACCCTTGTAATTATGATGGTGTGAATTTTGAATTAACCTGTGAAACAAATAGAAAGTAGGTAAAACTTCATCGAAATTATTTTTTCTAGGCAACATAATAAACTGTTCATGGCACTCTTGATTGAAAAATGCGAAATGAAAATTTCAGGATGAATGTCAAAAAGTGGCAAATGGGATTTTATTGTATTCACAATGTTATTCTCTATATCGAAATTGTGTGTCCCATTTAAAATGAGCCAAATAATGTTTATTTATGTACTATATACACACACAGAATTTCATTTGTTTATCTGTATAAACAAAAAAATTATAGGGGTGAGCCACCCGGTATAATCTATATTATACCACTAATGGTTTTCTCGTTGAACAATTTTGTCATAAAATATTTGGGATTCCCTGTATATGCAGCATACAGCCGACCAGTCATAACAAAAATAAATAAAAAAAACACAACTGACCAACTTCATTCATAGCTCACTCTGAAAAACCTCGAGATTGCTAGCTACATAATGTTCATGGTATTGAGTGTTTATTCACACCGAACTGGTGTTTACTCACACCAGACTGCTGTGATAGTTTCACCAACATGGTGTAATTTGTCCAGACGTTGTGAAATTGCACCAAGTCGGTGTGAAGTATATACAAGTTCGTTGGAAATCTCGTATCAGTGTAACTTTCCCACCACTTTGGTGCAATTCTCACAAAACTTCGGTGTAATTTGCACACAACTTTGGTGTAATTTCCATACCACTATGGTGTAATTTTCACACCACTATGGTGTAATTTTCACACCACTGTGGTGTAATTTTCACACCACTTTGGTGTAATTTTCACACCACTTTGGTGTAATTTTCACACCACTTTGGTGTAATTTTCACACCACTTAGGTGTAATTTCCACACCACTCACACTCGGTGGGAAATAGCCGTTGCTTCTGTTCACACATCGCCGCAATACATCAGACCGTACTGCTCGTACTGCTGCTCGTACTACCAGGCCCGCGTCTGCAGCGGCAGATAGCCGCCGCACTGCTGCTGGTAGTTGGTCTGTTGCCGGTAGGCCATCGCCAGGCCGCCGTTGGCCATGCACTGCGCCGCCACCGACTGCTGCTGGTTCTGGCAGGCAGCGGCGGCGGCGGCCGCGCTAATGGCGGGCGATTGCTGCGTTCGATTGGATTCGGATGAGGTCGACGAGGTGGACGTTTGGTTGGCGGAGGAGGAGCCGCCTCCCGAGCACGGTTTGCCGTCTTTGACTAGGACGGGGACGGCGACGCGTCGTGGGGAGCTCGATGACTGTAACAATAAAGAAAATAGGAGGTTAGAGTTATAGAGAAGTCAGAGATATTTTGAGAGTTCTCCTTTCGAAACTTCTTAGCCGAGCTGGGTTCAGTTCAGAGTTGCTTCAACATCGAAGAAAATAAGGAAGCGAGGCGATAATAATGATGATTATTGTCTTATGTTTCGTGGTTTATACAGTGTGTACCACTTTAAGCAGCACTACTCTCGTATTTTCCACCGAGTTCTGTAAAATGAGGTTACTTGGGACCTTGGGGTAACTCGTGTGTTTTTATTTTACTAGTGAAAACAACGCAAATATAATCATTTCCTCAATTCAATATTTTGATTAGTTGAATAGCACAGAGGTTGATGATTGATTCGAAAGCATTATCTGAAAGAGTGAATGAAAAGGTTAACAGTCTCTTGGTATCTACGATAAAAATCGTACCCATTCAATATCAGAAAATTATTTTGTATATATATTGATAATACCAATAATATCAGCAGGTTGAGGAACTGTTGAAACATAATATTATGGTATTTGTACATGAATTTGTTTTCATATCAAATTTTCAATTATTTTTAGTTAATAATTTCTCAGAACACGTTATATATTTTCTATCTATAGAAGATGAGCAGAATTCATGACTACGCCACTGGACTGAAATGGGAGAAGCTCGTTAGTAGAGTCTCAGGATTATTTTTCGAAGATCGTGACAGGTTTTCTGTTTGGTTAGCGTACGCTGAATATATTATTATTCCTTAATTGTTCAGCGTATTTTTGTGGACGCAGTGTAAACAAATATGTGATTAGGAAATCATCCTTCATTGAAATTTTAAAGACGCACATATTCAATATCGTGATTAGAAAGTCAGAGTTATTCGTTAGAAAAAAAAACACATGGTGCATGCATGTGTATGAAGGTACCTACTGTATAACGATTTCCTCATTGATCATAATCTTTGACCTTTTTATTTAATACCTTGAATTTCACACGAAATGAAATTTTTAAACAGTTAGAATTAATCGACAGCTTTGTTTCCATTAAAACTATAATATAGGTAGGTAGCAAGAGTCTATAATAATTTACTTTCGATGAAGTGGGTATATAGATATGGATACAGTTTCTTTTTGTAGCTTCACCGCTCGGTATTTGAGATATAGGTACGTTTCATTTTTTGAGGTATGTATAATTACGTACACATCAGGGTGACACAGCGTATAGGGCCACCCCTGATGTAACTTCTGCATTCGTAAACGGATTTTTCACATTACAATCCAATATAGCGAACATTTTTCTGTTTTTCTGGAAATGCCAGCAACTTTATTTTTTCAATCGGAACACCCTGTATATTTCTACATATTCAAAATTAACAGGTCAAAACAAGTGCAATCACGTCAAATGTAATTTTTTCGAAGAAATTGAAATTAAACTTGTTTTTTTTTTCATTGTAGTAGTGGATAAATGAGATGCGGTCAAGTTGACAAGATTCAGAAATGTTTTTTTCAACAGCTTACTTAGTTGAAAAATAAAAAGTAGTTCAAAAAACTAAAAAAACACCCTTTTATAGATAGCCAAACTAAGAGGAGGTAGAAAATAAAAAAATAATGTGTGTTGATCAATACACAACATAGAAAATAACAACAGCTCCGTAATCATTAAACATTCTATGTTGTTTTTTTATCAACACACTTTTAATAATTTATTTTATACCTCTTTTTAGTTTGTCTATATAAATTCAATGTACTGAATACTGGCCCACCCTGTATAAATAAATCAAACAAAATTCCTTGTTTCAGAGAATGTTTTTCTCCGTGTAACGAAAACGATTATTGGTACACCTAGAGAAATATCTATTAGATGTTATACGAAACTGTATAACCTTCAAAATATTTCTGTATTGAATAGGCGCCGCAGGCATATAGTTTCTTTTTCACTGTTATCAAGTCCATCATTTCAAAATAATCATATAACTGTGAAACAACACTTATATGAGAATGAAATGACGCTCATTTAGGGGTAAAATGATTAGCATTCTAATTTCTAATATTGAATAGTGATATTATAAAAATGAAATAATCCTCATATCAATATAATTTGCTTCAAATTTGATAGTCAAATGATTGGCATTTCAGTATTAGGGTGATTAATTTTTTTTTCCAGAAAAATGAAGTGAGTTGAGGATCATCGAGAAATATTGAAGAAATATCTTCTTAGTATAAATTCTTACCCCCAAGTAGAGTTTTTTTTTGAAACTACAGGGCATTGAAGTGCATCACAAGGGCGAGATACTCATAGTATACACCATATATATCTCAGTTTGCCTACGAAAAAAACGCTTCCAACTTTGAGTATTTGTTCTTCTTGTCACTACCTTGGATCATTAGTTAACATAGTTGCCAAACATTTACACGGTGGCGTCAGTAAACAAGAGTTCACAAATCACGAAACGAAAACGAGAAAACCTTCATTTTTTCTGATGAAATGTTGGCTAGAATTCTTGCGAATTTCGAAGTAGCAAATGAAATTATACGAATCTAATAAATACATATACGCACCGTGTCCAAGATAAGATACGAAGACACCCTGCTTATCTTGGACATACTGTATACTCGATAAAATCTATCACCGATATAACTGTATGGATACAAGCTTTCGCCACTATAGTAGATAGTGAGGTAGTTTAGAAATACAAAATTTCATCCAAATTGGATGAATTTCCGATACATTATCAATTTATATCGTGAGAACACTATAACGCCCTGATGCAGTTCAACTTCTTCTTACTTGGGGGGTATAGGAACTAATATGTCCCTAAAATTCCTAGAAGAACTTACAACCACTTCACATTAAATTATCACCCTGTAAGAAGGGATCACGAGCTGCTGCGGGCTAATATGTCCTCATCATATCAGGTATACGTAGACGACTAACGATTCTGATGAAACAAGTGTTCATAAGTGAGTGAGATGACACATTGTGGTGAACGAGTATGACAAAGATAGTAAATGAAGAAGAGATGAAACTTAAATGATACTTGTATAACTGTGAAATGACATGCATATAGGATTTCAATGATTATCTTTCAAATTCCATCTTTTAACTATAAACTTGTTCCATTTCAAATCTATGAGGTATCCTTTTTAAAACAAAAAGAGTGATTTGAGAAGGTGATCTGTTTCACGTTCATCGGATGACATTTTGTTGTCAAAATGTTTCATTTAGCAGTTATAGCATGTTTTTGAATAAAGAATTGTGTAACTGGATTTTTCTCGGTGTACCTATATTGACATCTATTGAGAAGTTTATAATGCATCAGCAATAAAATCAGGATTCAAATCTCGTCTGCCGCTATAACGAGCGAATCGATCAAAAATAAGCGTTTTCCGGTGTGTACACACCAATTCCCCAGCCCCCTGTGTCGATTCTGTTGCCTCGCGAGGGCGAAATTTCGTCTAAAACGAGGGTCGTTCGTCGTGACGTATAGAGGCCACTCGAGATGAGCGTGTGTTTTGAAGAGGCCCCGTCTGCTGGGGAACATAAAAGCGGCCCCTGGATTTACCCTAGCGAATTTCCCGAGTCTCTGTGATATTGTCGACGGAAGATGAAATTAATTTTTTTCGAGTCGACAAAGAACGGTTTCGCGAATGGAATATTTTGAAGAATGTGAAAAATTATGAACGGAACAATTTTTCAACGAGAACATATACAGGGTGTATCTAAATAGTACCGAAAAAATTCAAGGGGTGCTTCCTTGTAACATTCTAGCAAATAAAGTTCATATAAACATGTGTCCTAACTTGCTCCGTTTTTGAGATACAGGATGTTGAAGTTGAAAGTATTGATTGTTTTAATTCATAACCCCCCTGTATAAGCTTTCATGGTGTCAAAATTCAGTATGGATGGAGACTGAGAAAGCCCCAAAATTTCAAAATGATTCTAATTGGGGTTATTGAGTAATCTCAATGGAAGTCTTCAGAACACCTATATACATTGAAATTGGGAGTCAAATCGATTTTTTATTGTTTCCTTAAAAACTAAGCTAGATACAAAAGTCACACAGTGGATAAAAAAGTTATTATTTCAATAGTTCAATCTAATAAAAAATAGGAAACTCAGAAAAACCAGTGGTGTACAATGACATTCACCATGAATATCGATAAATTTACCCACTGTGACGCCACTGGAAATATTATCTCGACTCTAATTGCACTAGTAGAAGCTTCATCATAAATCTATTGACAAAACCTCAACGTTTCATTGAAATTGATGAAAAGACAATTGAGAAATGAATATGGAAACTCGAAAACGAAGCATGTTAGGTCATATTTATATATTATGAACTTTATTTCCTAAAATATCACAAGGAATCACCACTTGAATCTTGAATTCTTTCGGTGTTATTTAGATACACCCTGTATAATTTTTCTTCAAAAGTGGCATAGAAAGTGGCTTTTCTCTGCTGCCTAGGCAGGAAAAGTTTGTTGCCATGCACCTTTCCAAGAAATTCCAAAAAAATTGGTAATCAAAATGACTAATGTCAGTCAAAAAGAATTTTCAACAAAAAATCTGCACAAAATGGGTTTCATATCATTTGGAGCAAAAATTATATGTTTCACACGGCAGTAAATGTAGATTGACTAATACTACTTTCCTGCCCAGTAAAACAAATAACTATTAGCAGACATATGTTTGTAGGAAACAAAGTATCCAACAATCGTACCTGAAACTCTATGCGTCAGTACCTTAGATATCCATTATTAGAATACGTCTTCTGGGACTGGTAAGACTCAGATTATTTAGATGTTGAAAAAACGACAAATCTAACCCTCTTCGAAGGCGCAAATTCATTATTGAATGGAAGATACCCTCCAGATTTTTTTCTATTCAGTGACTTGATCACGAATGACATTGACGTTTTGTTGTAGTGAAATACATTTTAACTTTTTTTCTGTGACGGGAATGAAGTTCGAAATTTCATTAGAAATGCTTTTCAGTTTAAGATGACATTTTTTTCTTACTGGTTATAAAGAATATGAAAGCAATCGAAAATAATCATTAGTGCCCACTACCATGACTTACAGCGTTCGTGATATTTTGTAGGATGTTCACTATTAATGAACGCTTTTTGCGAGGTCTCTTTTTCGAACTCATTCCTCATTCCACTGCTGGATGGCCGGCCCGCTTGTATAGCTTTAGCACCTGTGTAAGCAGACAATAGAGGTAGGTTGAACATTGATTCTGTTAAATTTTTTTTGACTAGTAAACGAGGAACATTGATCATAGAACGAAGCTTCGCTATCCATTTTCTTCATCTGCCTATTGAACTTCGTATGACAATAAGCAATAGTGCTGGATGAGATTCCACAAAGCTGCTAATTTTTTTTCAAATTGTCTTCGAATTCTTTGAGTCCGACTGATCGATCAGTTTCAGTTTCGTTCACTTCAACGGAAACATTATTTTCTTCATCAGGAGTCGTCTCATTAAGGCCATCTTCCGTTTCCAACGTCATGGGTTCGCCAAAGCATAGACTATACAGAAGATAATCTTTCAGTAATCTTTGGCCAAAGTCTGCAGTAATCTCGTTATCTTTTTCTTTATCCATTTCTTTGAAGAAGTTGGCACCACTGATAATATTTGTGCTAACGTAGCAAGTTCTATTCTGTCTTGTAATAAAATATTAGGAACGTTGTGCATCTGCACACCAGTATTATATACAGCGCACAGAAGCTTGCAAAATTTCCCTCCTGCCCCCTCGCCTGCCCCTTCTGGACAGTCACACACTTCCAACTTTGCATTTACTTGGTACAAAAATGTCTGACTGATCTGCAACTGAAGTAACTGTAAACTGATCTTCACATACTTTCTCAACACGAAGATCAACCGATTTTTTGCAAAATTTCGTAAAATAAATTACCAACTTGTTATCCCTGATGGAGCTAGCATAACGCAACAACTTTTCTTTGTAGAAGCATGCAAGTCCTCAAAAACTCTTATTGATATACTATTACTAGATTGTTCGTATTATGGCTCCTATTGTTTTTTTACCTTTCACGACGATTTTCGCAGTACAATGTTTATTTCTATTTCTTGTCGATTCATTCTTAAGTTTTTTTATTTTTGTCGCTAGGTTAGCAGACGAAATTTTCCCTATACTCCAGCTACTTCAATCTACTATCGTCTAACGTCTCGTCACCATTTCGAATGAATCGCGTTCTAACAGTTACTTCTGAATGTATAGTTTTGTCAGGTATGACTTTATAAATAACAGAAACGCATTTTCTATCTATTCGAGATTCATTTTGCTAAGGAATAAATGTTCAATAGGTACGTTATAAAGGGAGCACATATCAGATAGGAAACGGAGTGCTCCAGTATGCACTCCAATCCCTATGCCGTGAGAGCGACCTATCGCGCTAGCTGCTAAATATGCGAACGGTACGGGTACGTACAATGTATCATGGGGTACGTATGTACGTGGTATGTACGTACGTAACGAACCGGCCTGACAATGGTGCCTAATGAATTATTGAACTAATGCATTGCCAGTAGTCCAAATACACGGTGGCGGCGAACGGTAGCAGAAGGCCGAATCGCCAGAGCAAACACCGGCCGACAGACAGGTGCGCCGGATCAATATTGGTGCAGCCATGTTTGCTGGCAAGAAGCAGGAAAAAAAGGAAAAGGAACGAATCTGATGGAAACGGAATGTGCTGAGACTGCGGGGTCGACGGACCGACGGGAATGCGATGATTTTCTATCAAAAAATATACAGGGTGAAATCGTTTAAATCATCCATATTTCTCAAAATGGTCCAATTGATTTTTAATCCGTCGTCGCCCAGGTGGGGTCTCAGATGGCCAGACAAATTTTAAATCACTGGCATTTCAATTTGAATGCACGCACTTTTCTTTGGTTGCCTATAGCTTCCCAAAATACTTCATTCTGTGATATTCTTGTGCGAATTCAATCTTCAAGTTTTGTTAGCTACCAAGATAGTGACAATGCAGTAAACAGCTTTGCATGGGGTCGGAGAAGACCAACCTGTTTAACAAATATATACATTTCATTCTAACAGATACTTGTAAATTTCCATAGGAAAATGGATCATTTTTAATTGATGAAAAGGAATATCCTCAGATATAATTATGAACATAAAAAAATGGATATCTATAGTTTTATGGAAGGGAAGTCGTTGCTGACCAGTAGGAATGAAACCAGTGTATATTGGGGGTAGCAGCAGTGTAAAAGGAATCTTTTTAAAGTTTTCGGAAATGTTTATTTCCATCATCAGGAATACATACATACATCAAGAAATACATTGAGAACTCGCATTCTGTATGTGATGAAAATATCAATTCTTTCTCGGTCTATATTCAACAGAAAACAACTACTTTCCTGGCAATACCTATGCCACGACGAACATTGAATTATATCTATTGAACACACAGGATAAGAATTTGAAAACAAAATCTTCTGAAGTAGAGAATTTGCATTCTCCATCATATAATAAAGATTTGCTCAAAATATCATTCTGAATATTCAACAGAAAACAACTACTTTCCTGGCTATTTGCCACGTCGAACATTGAATTATATCTGTTGAACATCCAAATCGGATAAAATAATATGATATGAAAATATAACTTACCAATATGTTCAGAAAGTATTTCGAAAACTAAGTATTGTATTTAGGAGTAGGTAATATTATTAAATTAGCTGCACACAGCTATAATTTATTTTATTTTTTTCGCATTGCTATGTCTGATAAAATGTAACTGTACTGATCATTGCACTCTCTGATGCATAAATTAATCAATCAAGTTGAATCAACGAATGCAGGCTGAGTTGACTCCTACATCCGACGGAAGTCTGAATTTATTTTTTTATTATATCATCCCAACACTGCCTTCGAATTGAACCAATCAAAATGAAGAATATACAGACATGAGATTTCCTTCATTTTTCTAGTGAAACACCATTCTATGCCAAAATAATTGTGAAAAACTATTTCAACAAATAAAAAAAGTGAGGTTACTGAGATTGTTTTGCTTCCAGGGTCGGTCATCTGACATTTTGTGCACGCGACCTATACCTATTATGAAAGCTATTTTCTGTGCGGTAAACGGTTCCAGAGATATTAGCAGAAAACGATTTTTTTTTCAAATTTTCAACACACTTTTTCATATCTTTGGACGAGCTATCACATCCGGAAGTCCTGCGCATATATTATGAAACACATCTTTCAAAAATGACACAAGTTTCAAAACGTCTTCGCTAACCATCAGTTGCACCCTCCAGAATCTGAACAATCTGAACGAACAAATGAAAATCGAGCAAAATAACTATAAAGGGGTGTCATGATCTAGAACGCGTTTTTCTCCATGAGTTCATTGAAGAAAGTGAAAACCCCTAACCACACAAAGCAAAAAAAAGAAGAAGAGAAAGGTATTATACGAAATGCGATTAAAGTATTACCTTGAGTGTGAATAAATTCTGCTACAAAAACTCCCTTTGTTGCCAGTGAATGGACGTTTTGTTGTGATAGGATTTAGAAAATATTATAGTATACCTAGTGAAAGGTGAATGAAGTCCATCGTCATGGACATTGTCGGAGAAATATGATTTTATTGTGGGCTATGTTTGAATTTAACTTTCCATACATATAGGGCGTTCCATTTGGAAAAATTGTCGCGGACTTCATTACTCAAACGTAGATCACCCTGTATATTAAATTTTTTCTCATAGATGAGGAAAATTGAGATTAAAAATAGACCTGTTTCAGCAGGAGATTCCTCAGAAATGGATAGTTATTTTCCTATTTTCGCCTGTAACATATTTTCTGAAAATTTATTCACCTTATTCTTGGAGTGACACCAATTTATGAATGACAATTATTATAATTCATGCATGTTTCTTCCTAGATTTCTCAGGTAGGAGAATAGGAGATGCCGAGGGAGATGCAAAGTTCCATTTTTTGTATACTCTCTGGCTACCATCAGGTGTGTTTGATAATACAGTGACAATATATTTCATCATGCAAGAATATAGGTTCGTGGAAACGATGCGAGCGTTTTTTTTTAATTATTTTCGGTCACAAGCGCAAATGGCTATCAATTTCATATAAAAAATCATTTTTTGTTGAGCTTTGACAGCGTCGAAGACTATATAGGTATTTTATTTAATCGATTGTTGAAAAAAATATTTTTAGTACGCCACTGGCCACTTACCTGGTTGTGCTGGTTTTGTTCGGCCATCGCCTTTTCTTTGGCTTGTCTTTTGCACTTGTACCTGTGATTCTGGAACCATATTTTCACCTGTAACAACAAAATTCCCCGTCAGACTACATTTCTAGATGGAGCCTAAGAAAACATCAATTTTTCAGAATGTCACTAAAGAAAACAGAAATCTGACGAGACGAGAAAAATTCATTCTTCAATTTAGCCACAATAAGTTGGTTAATTTCTATGGGGTTAATACATATAGTGTGACCACGAATTAGATTAAATTTTCATAATGGCATATGCTATCAGTAATTTTTTTTTGATTCAGAAGCTTTCAATTTGGAATTTGGATGAATTTCAATTGTAAAATATTCGTTATAGCTATAAATAGTTATGACAACTGTCATTCTTGCTCCGAACAACAATATATTTTGATGATCAATAATTTTAGAAAGTTAGGGAAGGATATTTTCCTGTAGATTTCCGAAGATATTTGAGAATCGGCAACGATGTCAAAAAAGTAGTTCACTTTTTCAATTCCAAGATTATCGAAGCAATGGTTATGACTTTACCTACAGAATAAGTTATATTAGTTATATGGCTTCAAAATATAATGCCAGAAACTTCCACAATCCCTCATACTTTGTTGTTGTCAATGTTGCCAATACTCTGGTTTTGTCTGAAATCTTCGTTAAAAAGTTATATAGATTCTGAAATTAATGTTGTTACAAAACTCATGGTGTATATAATGAATATGTGTCAATGGAATTCTGCGGTATCATCCTATGTAATAAATTCGATAATGAAGGACATCTGAATCCAGTGGTGGAGAGGAAATGTTTTGAAAAAATCGCCAAAAAAAATCAGCCGGTCAGGTAATATATTATCTTGAGAATGAGTGGTAATTGGAATTTCAGCTGAAAAAATAGTATACTCAATTGATAATGAAATAATTATTTCACGAGTTTGTTGGATAACATGATTGTGATATAACCTTGTCATAATTTGTTATTATTGAGTGCATATCAAGTCATTCAGAATCGAAAATATGCCAATCAATTGCCATTATTTGGATGAATCTGCCAATTTGGCACCCAATCAGAGCAATGAGCTCATGATAGATGTATGACACTTACCAAAAAATAATCAATCATGATCTATATCTATCTATCAATGATTTAAAAAAAATAACATTAAGTATTCTGATGGCGCCCAACATGGGGTATATATGCATTGTTTTGAAGTAAACAAATTAATATAAAATCATCAATTCATAATCTATTAGTAACTATAGATACCTATACCTACTTAAAAACTTCGAAAAAATAAAAGACTCCAATAGGTATAGTTCAATACTATATAGAGGTATAGGTACTGCTATACATATAGGTATTACATAGATTGTTCTACCACAATCGCTTTCAATCCATCAGATCAACCATACATCAGACCGCGTATAAGCGTTTAAAAAAACTCGAACAGCTGGTTGTGTCGACAAAAGCCACTCGAAAATCTGTCGACGCTGTCGAACAACCAGCCGCACTTTGTCCGAAAACCAAGATGGCGTCGTTTATTCAATTCTCGATAACGTAATAATGCGCAGGGGCTCCCTAATTTGCTACACACACACAAAACATCAGCCAGAAGGGATGACGAGATAGACCCTTTTTTCATCCGTCCAATTGACACTATGCTCGCCCTCTCTCGTCGCTCAAATTTAGCGAAACGGTAAATGTATCTATTGTTGAGTAGATTGATGGTACAGGACGATAAATATAGGTACCCCGGGGTCGCATCTAGATCTAATCGTAGGGAAAATGGCGATGGAATACGGGATTATAGGGAGACCCGGATTTGTCGTTAACACAAGACTCGAGGTATACATATACATACAGCAGTAAATAACAATCAATATACGTAGCTCATTCTATTCGAAATCATTGATTTGGCGCCCAACGTAGGATAATTATCATCTCACGGATGATTATCATCGACAAAACATCCATCAACGATGATGGGAACCTAGTTGTTGCAACGTGTGCAACTTTTTTTTATCTCCTATAACGTTGCCAAGATCCCATCAGTGCTGATGATGTACAACCTTATATCTTCTTCGATTCTAAATCGAAGAATCCTATATATATATATAAGATATGTAAGGGTCTGGAAGCGGTGAAAGCTGTATTCAGGGGGGCCTTACTTTGGCGCTGTTCGGACAGAGACTACTAGTATACTTGTTTCGGATATCTCGGGCGCCATATTTTTGATAAAGATGATTTTCTTTACCTTTTCCTACAACAGGGTTTGTAAAGATACCTGAGTAGCAGCTGGAGACAGGCACAGGAGGTGATTACCTCGGTACTTATACAGTATGAACCAAGGGTCAATGTTATTGCTCAGACCTGGATCAGAAGCCAAGAGAGTATTGGCTTCAATTACAAACTCTGGATTTAGCTTGATGGAATACCTGTTGATTAATTATGGTCGTTGAATAATTGAAGGAATCAAAAAAATCTTCGGCGCCAGTCTCTGGTTTATTAGGTTGGGCCTGGAAAATGTATTTATTCGTTACCCCTATACCTGGAGAAGTGGAGAATGAAAAACACGGTCCATACTATGGAAACAGATTCAAGTCCTTTTCAGTTCCTTTTTCTTCTTTTGATTTTCTTATTTTTGCAATCTCGGAATTTTATTGAGGTTAATTATCTTTTCATGATACACATCAGACTGACAGTATAGAGCACATCAGACACACCGCAGCACGGGATCACATCATGAGCAAAGGGTTGAAAAATATCCAAATCAGGAAAAACTTTTGAAAGTCAGGAATTGATGGAACACTCAGCTCTATCAGGTTTTCGGGCTTCGACCTTTTGAACAAGTGAAATTTAACTCGAATCAGTCTCAGGTAAAGTAATGAAGCTGGCTCAAAAACATTTTATTACAGATAGACACAGTTTCAACACTTTGAACACATATATATATATTCACTCATTAAATATCGTGATATCGACGACCGACTCTTTCTGATTATGATGATGCTAATGCATGAATATGTCCGCTTCAATCAGTTCAATCGCTTGATGATTATGATGGAACCGATGAATCTCCAACTTGTGATATGAGTTGATTTATCGCATTCCTAGATGTTCCATTTGAACTTCGTCGCTAACGCTTACACTATATTATTATATAGATTTTAATCCCACGTTCTGGAAAATATTTACCTATCGTTCGATTAGTGTATAAACGTTGGGGAAAACTTAATCCCGAGGCCTGACGTCGGTCGATTACCATAATCCCGATTTAATAATGATTTAACCCCCTGATATTGTACGGTACGTCGAAGTCATTATGATGTGGACCCATAATGTTATAGAAAGGGCGTTACGACGACTTGTTTGTTCGCAGGGAAGAATGCTGCCTACAACCCATCAAGCCTAAATCAATATTGGTTTTGTCGATTTATTAAAAACTTATTGAAACAATGCATTCTGGAATGACTGTAGACATTTTCTCGGAAAGTGAAAGTTATACATCACACATCATATAAAAACAAAAAGGATTATTCTAATTGATAGAATATATGTTTTGTTTGAAGAGTACACACATAAAAATAATTTCTTCCTTTAATGAAATACCTATGCTTTGAATCAAGATGATGGCTTGTTTATATATACTGGAATAAACGATTGCTTTGATATAAGAATTTCCAATTCAGTATAGTCTCCGACCAAGCGTATAGGTTGCTTGAAATATGAAGAATTATATATTCTTCATATGAGTATACCTACAGTAACTATACTCTAAACAAGAGTGTCATTGTATAGATTGTCAAGATGTTTATTCTCTCCATCTTGGAGAGTACTTTTCTCGAATCAAATAACAGAAATTCTTACTGTTCTCGATCTGCATCAGCTTATTCCATAACAAGGAATTGATATGATTGAACGGATGAAATAAGATGTTTTAGAGAATTAACTGCATTCATTCTCTAATCAATTTCGTGGGTACGACTTCAAGACTTCTTTTTTGGTCGTTTCGCTCAACTTCAAGTATGGACTCTATGGAGAAAGAAGTATTTCTTATCTTTGTTTCAATTCATCATTCCCCATTCTTGCAGTTTTTCTTCCATTCCGTATGCTGATTTACAAATACTCATGTCATCAGTATGTCACTTTCCACTTCAACAGAAAATCAACCAAAATACTTATTGTCGAATTAACTGCGTGGGGGCAGCTATAGGCAAATGGAAGTGTGTTAAACAAATCAAAAACTGCAACAGCTGTGGTAAGGTCAAGAAGACGATATGCTTTTGGATCTCAGGAAGTTGAAATATTATAATCAATATGTACATTTTTTCGAAAGGACGAGAGAACTTGAGTAAGTATATAGGTACAATTGGAAGAAAACAGCATCACATATTATCAACAAATCGAACTATATTATATATAGAAAAAGACCATTTCTTATCCTTTTTTGATAAGGTTAAAAAGATTTTCTTCTCCATTTCTTCTCATTTTTTGTGTTACCGCAACATGAAATGTTTATAATTTACGTTTGTCACCTTGAAGACAAGGGCAGATATAAGGGAAGACATATTTTTTCTCTCTCACAAAGCTGGTTGAACTTCTCTACTCGAAATAATAATCAACAAACCACTCGAAAGCTTTCATAGCAGTAGAACGATTGCCGTCGCTAAGGCTTTAATTTAATCATGAGACAGGCGGTAATTAAATTGCAATTAATTGGCAAGGGGACGGTTATACATAGTATATATATATAGGTACCTCATATACGCTTACGAAGAGCGAACGAAATATATTTTCTTTGATCCGAATATTGAGAAAGAGTGAGAAGAATGGTCATAGTTTTATAAAATGATGTACCTATTGCCTATCACATCATCTGAACTAAAAATTGAGGAGCGCCTTGAATGACTGTAATTTATTTGAATGTTTCCAGCTATAGTTGAGTTATTATAGGAAAACAATTTCTCTTATTTTTTATACCTATAACTATATACCTACTCTCGTATACCTACTGACGTAAATCTGAGTGAAATAATAAATACCCCATGCACGTTGGGCGCCATAATGATGATGGGTTTTCTTCAAATTATTGATTGGTGATGGAAATCTTGGAAATCATAATTCTTTGCAGGTTTAGAATTGGATCAATAGAAATAAAAGTAGATTTAGAAAAGAGTATTGATGAATGTTTCTGAAGAAGATGCAATATGTCCTGTTGGACGTCTTATATGGAAAAATATTTGGTTTGTGGCCATGCACTGTTCCCAATTATTCAATTAGTATATGCTACAGTGGCCAGAAACGAACGGTGAAATGTCCATATAGGAATACCACCAATATGCACTGAAAACATATATATTTATTGATCAGAATATCTCAATACCTGCTATTTGGCTTTGTTACCATATGATTGCGTATAATTCGCTTGTTGTTTGCCACGTTACTGCATATATGTATAATCTCCAAAAAAATTCGAATAGGTACAATATTTCTGCAACACTTCTGAAAAATCGCGCAAAGGCAACACAACATTATAATATTGCATGTGGCAATATTTGCTGAATATTTCTTGATGTGAGCTGATGGTGTGTGTATATATATGCTTCCATCCACGCATTCACGCATCATATCACAAACATCATCACAAAATTCGAATTCCTTCCCAATTACGAAGCGAAGTGTATTCCGTTCTCATCAAGAGTGCGTATAAAAGGGACCACAATCGACATGGGGCCCCACCGGGCATCTCACGATCTCACAAAAGCCCTGGCTGGCACTTGTCGGGACCGCGTAGAAATCGCGTTGAATGGGGCCAACGGAGCGTATGCACATTGCGCCCACATCATTTTCGTTTTCAGACCGCATATATACGATGGTTGTTATGATTTTTTTCGGTGATTTGATCATCAATCAGATAAACAGGGTGGAGCATTAATAGTGCGTTTGGGTCCGATTGCAAGAATCTTAATATACAGGGTGATTCACATAAGAACCGACATAGAGCAGGGGCATGCAGGGGGTCCCAAAATATGGCAATTTAACGCAACTTACCTCTATACCAAGTTGCTTCCCTAAGGAGATATATAGGCTCTGAAAGTGAAGTTATAAATTTTGAAAAAAATCAATATCTCCGTTATTCTTGAACTTAAAGCAACCAAATCTGGTACACTTTGTGGATGTATTTAGGGCGTTACTTGTTAGTAACTAGAGTTCAATTGAAAGCTGTAAAGAAGGTATACCAGGTGGCGCACCATTAATATTCAACCTAATTTTGTTAACACTTGATGGATTTCAAAAAGTTTCGCTTTGTTTTGTGGGCAATTCAATTCTTAAACCTTTCTTACTCTAGTAATTTTTCAAAAAACCTCATCATTTTCATCAAAAACTCGAATAACTGAAAACGCGCGCTCTAAGTGTGTTATTTAAGATCATCGAAAATTCAAAAGTTGGCTATGAAAATAAACGTCAGACTTGACAATGAGGCAAGTGAGTTGTTCAATTAAGTAATTGTTGTTCGAGTGTTTTTAAAATGAACGGGAAGTTTTCTTTTAACAAGCAAGTTGACATGCTGTTAGTGCTATGCCTATAACTCCTTATAGGGAAGCAACTTGGTATAGAGGTAAGTTGCGTTTAATTACCATATTTTGGGACCCCCTACATGCCCCTGCCCCATATGTCGGTTGTTATGTGAATCACCCTGTATATGATGGCTTGAAACATGCATGATTAATAAATATACCTACACTGAGAAAAACGATCTTTTTATTCGAACACATTGTGATCTTGGATATGGCCAAGTGAATGTTCAAAAACCAACAATATTTTCTTGCTATAAGTTTGTCAAAATATCTTACTGGAATGAAATGAATATTTGTCTCAGGAATAGAAGCGTACTTACATTATATATACAGGGTGGATCACGGTGGATGGAATATTAGAAGTATATCTGGAGAACGAAAAGACAGAACATTCTGAAAATTGGGATGCTTTGATAATTGAACATTCTCTATTCGTCTAAAATGTTTTCATCGAAATAGTGTTGCCACTTCTATCAGAAACAACTAGCAACTTTGTTATTTCAAATGGAACACCCTGTATTTTATTGCATTTTTGATTCTTCCTGAGGAGCTGATTTCATCAATGTATCACACTTGGGGTCTAGCAGAAATGATTACAGAGATAATTATGGGGTATTCAAAATCTGGATTTTTCAACTTTAGGATTTTATTGTGACGAAACTATTCATTTTTGATCAAAACGGCTTACATGTCCCTATCTTAACTTTTGATTCTCTATCTACAGGAATTTAATTGGAAAGAATACAGGGTGCTTTATGATTCAGAATTCTGATCACCCTATATCTGTCCCAATTAAATGTCAGTAGATAGTGAATCGAAAGTTGAGATAGGGATATGTAAACCATTTTGATCGATAATGAATAGTTTTGACAGAAAAATATCCCAAAATTGATAAATCTCGATTTTGAACACACCTATATCTCTGTAATTATTCCTGCTAGACCCCAAGTGTGACATATCGATAAAATCAGCTCTTTAGGAAGAATCTAAAAATGCAATAAAATACAGGGTGTTCCATTTGAAATAACGAAGTTGCTAGTTGTTTCTGATAGAAGTGGCAACACTGTATCGATAAAAACATTTTAGACGAATAGAGCATGTTCAATTATCGAAGTATCCCAATTTTCAGAATTTTCTGTCTTTTCGTTCTCCAGATACTTCTAATAGGCCATCCACCGTGACCCACCCTGTATACTTACATTACTTTTCTTACGTAATGATCGCTTTGGGTTTTGAGATCTGAGTATAGGTACCTATATATCAATACCATACAATTGGTAACGGCGGATGGCCTAATAATTCTCATCATCTCGTTATAACGTTGTTCCATCGAACATTATAGGAATTTCCTTTCGTGCGCTCCAAGAGATAAAACAAAATCACGAAATTTTGTGCAAATTCACAGACAAGTGGCATTTTGCCACCATTTTGCTGAAGATAGTATGTATCAATAAGTATAGGACTGATTGGCGTACATCAGGTTCCGATCGATGTAATGGACTATTTATATTTAAATATACGTAGGTAAGTATATATTTCTCATTTTTTTCACTTACTTGGGTGGGGGTGAGGTGTATTAAAGATGCCAGGTGTTCTCTCTCAGGAGCTGATAGGTATTTTTGTTGCTTGAATCTTCTCTCCAATTCATATACCTGGAAATCAAACAATATATTTTATAGAAAGTTGATATAATTATACAGGTTTGTGTCAGGTCTTGTATATTATATGAGATAGGTAATGACACGATGAAGCACAAAAAAAATTGTTCGATCTTGGCATGCAGAAACCCTGATGCATCTTTTGGGAATATGTTTACAGGGTGATTCAGGTTTTAAGGTACAAACTGAAATAAGTGATAGATCTCATCATTTCGATCCATGCATTTCGATGCTGTGTGTGGCTGATATAATAACTGCAACATTTCGAAACGCAGCAAAAACCATACACACGCACACATACACCACGCGCTCCCCGCAGCATGAAAACCGGCCAGAAATAAATTTATCCAAATTTATCGCCCTGTAACTTTTTTGATTCTTGTCCGATTATGATGAAATTTTGACAAAATCGTAAATTCGTGTTTCGAAATGATGTTAACCTGAATTTTATAGTTCCCAATAAAATCAGAATGAAGTGCACTGAGAGGAAAAAGCGCACTCATTAAATTTTCTTGTTATGTCTGAGTTAATGACTGTACCTATTTCAATTTCTAATCATATCCACTCATGTTACGTATAAAAATAGCACCAGGGACTAATTACCATATAACTAGAGACGTTTTTTTGGGAGTATATACTTCAATTAACTTCATTGGACTTCTTGTAATGACAATTAATGTCTAAACCTATGATAATTAACGCAGACGAGTGAATTTTAATCATATTACCATTATACTTGTTATCGAATTACCATCATATAGGAAAATGTAATGACGATTGTTGACGAATGTCCTCGAGTACATGCGAACAAGAATTTTTCCGACACATTCACACCCCCTCGGGCCCCTCGTCAGTTATCAGACTTTGGTCGGCCTAGTCGGTCGGTATAAACTCGTGCTTCGCGTGCATTTCCTTTGTTAAATATACGGTTGATAGTTATGATTCTGAGTTGTGATCGAGTGAGGTTTTGAAAAACTGATGGTTATAGAAGTGTGCAAAAACTGGGATTGACCGAGACATTTAGGAGTGATATTTTGATTTGAAATGTTGGAGTTATTTAATTTTCAACCACTTATCTTAACGTACCTAAGGCATATTTAATTTTTTTTGTTCATTATTAAACTTGTTTTTTATAAAGTTCAATTTTCTCATTTCCTACACTGTAGAAAATTCCTCTTGAGTGAATGAATATGTGGTTGTGAGTGAATTTACTGATTGAAATTTTTGAGTGAATTCTCAACTGAAACTAGATATTTCATCAAGTTCTCATAACAATGAGAATGTTTATAACAAATTTGATGGAATCGGTTCATGAATTACCATTTCACACAGTCAAGTAGGGTGAAATTTCAACTCAATCGGGCGTGGACCGAAATTGACTCATTATTGCGTGGACCTTGAGTGAAATTTCACTCAATTTTTTTTTCAGTGTACCATCTACAGAGTTTAGTTCAGGGCAGAAATTTTTCAAACATCAATGTTTGAAAAATTTCACTATTTCAATATAGGTATATTCATTTCCGATTATTTTTTTCCTCTGAATATAAGCTTCGGAAATTGAATGTGCCATATAGATTTTTTTCTATTCTGGACAATGATTTGGTAAAAAAATATTCGATTATCAATTTGAATCAACTAAGTATAGAGTAATTAATCATTCCAATACAGAGGTTTTATGCCGAGAGATTTTTTTTATTTATTTATTTTATGTAATCATTTTTTGATGAAGAATTATTTGATTATCGATCTCAATACCTAGCGTACCTATATAGGCAAAAATAAATTGGTGCAACAAAAATATAATTGCTGTCATGATGATGAAGTTGGAGAAGAACTGCCCTGAACCAAACTCTGTATATGGTAGGAAATGAGAAAATTGAACTTTAGAAAAACAAGTTTAATAATGAACAAAAAAAATTGAATATGCCTTACGTTAAGATAAGTGGTTGAAAATTAAATAACTCCATTATTTCAAATCAAAATATCACTCCTAAATGTCTCGGTCAATCCCAGTTTTTGCACACTTCTATAACCATATCAGTTTTTCAAAACCTCATACTCGATCACAACTCACAACTCAGAATCATAACTATCAACCGTATATATATAGAGAATTACATCCACATAAAAATCTTTCGAAATATAAACTCTTGGAAACGGATTAGAGAAAATAATATGTTGAGAATACACTATTTTTCTCCCGTTAAAGAACTTTCAATTGAATATATATGAATAGTGAGATAATTTAAAAATATTATCCAAATTGGAAGAATTTCCGATACATTACCGATCTATCGTGAAAACACTATAACGCTCTGAAGTGTTAAAGAATAAGTTTATCTATCTTTTGTTTTTTCTCATCTGTTGTATAATCAAGCCATCATCAGCTTTTCTTGAGAACTAAAATTCAGGCTGAGATTCAGAAGAATAAGTCCTCGATTTGGTATAAATTTCGCGCCAGTAGATATCGAAGAAAAATTGAAAAAAAGCGATTTCTTAATGTGGCAAAATGTTTTTTGCCGGTTAGGAATACATACATACATACAGACTCGATCAATCACCCGCTTCCTACCTACACTAAACTTCCACCCGAACTCCCATCAAACACTTCCAACACCCCGCCACAGATCAACAAAAAGTCGCCGTTCCGACGGCCGCGCAATCCCTATCATTCCGCCACAGATACCGCCGCGACACGCCGACCTTGCTATCCAGTGGGCGTGTCCGGCGGGGCGGGGCCTCCGTCTCCCCACTCACCTGCGCCTGCGTGAACAGCACCCGCCTCTTGCGCCGTTGCGCCAACGGGAACTGCATCGGCTTGGAGTCGGGCATCGCGCACGCGCCCAGGCCGGGCATGGCCGAGTTGAGGCCGTGGTGGGCCATGTTGGCCGAGGCGGCCGAGCTGCCCATCAACCTGGAAACTGGACAGAGGGAAACGGTTAGGTGAGCAATGCTCCCAAAACAAAATTCTGATGAATTTGAAAGGAAATTCAGTGCGGAGTAGGTATACCTCAAGGGTCAGTGCTGGGCCCAGTGCTATTTTTGCTCTACATATATGATTCAGCATAAATTAATATTATAATATTATGTGCAGAAAAGTTTAGATGCCTATCCTATAGGTAGTTTGCAGTTCTGTGGCTGATTATGTCTGAATTGTAACAAACTAATATTGATGATATTATTATTACAATAATAGATAGTAAAAGAGTGATGCATGTGATTCCAATTTATGCTTGACATTAGGTATACCTACCCACAGATATTTCGACGAATATATCCTCACTTTTCATTTAACATGATGCAAAAAAAATTGTTTAGGTATTGGTATGTAATCAATTAGATATAGATACAGGGTGTTTCTTAAGTAGGTGTAGAAAATTCAGGAGCATGTTGCTGACGTCAAAATAAGAAGAAAAGTTTGTATGAATATATGTCCGAAAGTTATTCGTTTCTGCGATGCACATCAGAGTGTCAAAGTTGAGCTCTCATTTTGGTTTTTTGTTAATAAACTCCAAAATAATTGTGATATTGGAATAAAATTTGGTATCTATAGGGGTATTTTTGGATGACATTATCAAATTTTATGTTAATTTTGTCTCTTTCGTGGGGGTGGCGCCACCTACATGTCTTTTGAGTCTTTTGAAAAGTCATTACTTTTTTGTGCGTACCTGTACCTATAACGTTTCATAGTAGAAAAATAGATTTCTAGAACACTTTTATGTAAAAAATACCTATATTCCTATGGTAAAGGTCGCTGCGAGCAACTGATGGTTTTAGAGTTATTGCGTGGAGTCGCCTCTAATATAGTGAATATAGGTATATATATCAGAAAAGTTACGCCATGTGCATTTTTCTTCTTTCATTCAATATTCTACTTCATTCAACATTGAAATGTATAGGCAAAATATGATTCTTATATACTTCTTTAATTGTATACTTACTTACCTATACTTTTTTGAACTCTTCCAATTCAAAAAAAGAACAATCAAATGAGTACTTGTCATGTTATTTCAATCCGTTCTTGTGACAGTGAAGTTTGTTGTCTTCTGTACTTGTGATCCAAAAGCTCTTTCAACTATAACTGTTTCAGTATCAATTTGTTCTTAATCACTATTATCATTATTAGTATTAAATTGTAATAACACCCGATTCCTATTTTTAGTATTTTTCATTGAACACAGTTGCTCGCAGCGACCTCTACCAGGAATATATTTTTTACACAAAAAGTGTTCTAGAAATCTATTTTTCTATACTTTCATCACGATTTCTGGATTCTTCCATACCTCTACATGGCTCTACGAACCTATACTTATTTATTTTATAATCACCTGGTAAAACCTATATTGACAAGTCTGATGACCGATTGTGATACTAAAATAAACATCAGCTTCTGCATGCATATTCCGAAATTCATTTTATCTGCAAATATATGATTCGCAGGATAGGCAAAAATAAATATTTGTTCTGTAAATGTCCCCTCGATGCATCAATTTTAGAATGGTATATTCAAGTAGGGGCACAGGGACACTCTTGTATAAACAAGAGATGTATGAGAGGTGTCATGATGGCTTTCTATTTCTATTATAACAATAAGGGAGAACGGACAACTGAACTGAACTGAGCTATACACTATACAGTGAGCATGATATAAAATCCACACCAAGAAGATTTTCTTTTAAAATAAGAGCGAAGAATAATTGGGTTTTCACTTGTGATACTCAGTTATTTATACAGGGTGTATCTAAATAACACCGAAAAACATTGAGGGGTGATTCTGTGCTGAAAATCATGGATGGCTATTTGGTATCAAGTTTTTTGAAAAACCTTTTACTGCATGGAAAATATAGGTACACCACACCACCTCCGGAAATAAGAAAATGACATCTTTTGGGATTTAAATGATGATTATCTTCAAATTTCCATCTTTTAACTATAATCTTGTCTCATTTCGAATCTAAAAGATAACCTTTTTGAAACAAAAAGAGTGATTTGAAAGGGTGACCTGTTTCACGTTCATCAGATGACATTTCGTGGTTAACATGTTTCATTTGGCGGTTATAAGAAGTTTTTAAATAGAGACATGTATAACTGGACTTTTCTCGGTGTATCATCGGTCTTTCAAACATTTTATCTGGATTAAATCTCTTTTTTCTTGGGAAGTTGAATACGCATTTCATCGATACTGAACATGAAATGCGGGATCTAATGTGATGAAAACATTTTTTGGCTCGTTAGAATTCAAAAAACGATTTTTGTAACATCCAATTTTGAATTTATATCCTATATGATTTCTCGAAAAGTGTAACACTTTGTATAATAGTATATATGGTCAAATTTGTTCAAAATCACATAACCTACCACCTCCTTCCGTATATACGTCGGTGCATGAACCAAACACCCTGAATAACAGTCACGTGAGTATATTATATTATATTAACGGGCTAAATTTTGATATCGGTAACGCCCTGTATCTCGCAAACGAATCCTTTCATATTATATGACTGATGTATATACAGTATGATGCAAATGTATGGAATAAATTCATTATTTTAGAAATGGGCGACATTTGAAAAAATTACAAAAACACGTGAGTTTTAATTTTTGAAGCCTCATCTCATGACATTCATATGAGAGATGTAACGTCACTGGTGTAGAAGTAATGACGTAATGGACGATTTTTTCAAATACAAGCAGGGGTCATGTGACACCTCGTTTGAAAGGTCTACTGATCGTCTATCCAACAGTAAACATTGTGCATAAGAATATTGCAATTAAAATGGATTATCATTTGGTTAACTGAATCTTGCAGAGGTCTGCTACTGAGAATTGAACATCGAAGGGTCGTCTAGTTGAAAAAATACACAATAAAAAAGTTCTGAACTCTAGTTTTTGGATTTTTTTCGGAAGTCGTCTTGTTTTGAAATGAATTTATTCCATACATTTGCATCATACTGTACTATATGACTACCTAATAATATGACCTATAAGTATATTAGGTATGTTGAATAAAAACTATTCTTTAAATTTTTATTTGTAAACCGAGATCTTCAAATTAATATACCCATCATCAATCATGACAGTTCTAGAAGTTCTTTGTATTCAAACTTTCCTTTTCTTGATCTAAGCAAAAGTATTTCTGAAAGTATATGAGTAGATACAGGGCCTAGTCACCGACAGACCCAACTGACAGCCTGGCAAATACACTAAGCTGCGTTGTTTGCGGAGCACTCAAAATCCTACGACAATACAGTAGCCGAGAGAGGAGAGAGGTATAGAAAGAGAGAGAGAAAGATAGAATCAACGTTTCGATCCCCCTTCATATAACAACCGTGGTTTCGAGACGAGTTCAAAGCAAATACTGCCTACCAGAGTAATTACTTACCAGTAATGAAGGTATTGTGCGTGTCGAATAAACGATCTATTTATCATTCCAATGTATTTATTTTGTTACATTGGCGGATCATCGTCAGGAGATGCAGGTAAGGGTAAGGCATCAGGTGCCTCATCAATGTGAACGAGACATCATGAAAACACTCGTATAAAAAACCGACCCGAAAACATTTTTGAAAAATTGATCGTTCTGGTGCGATGAAATTGTGATGAAATGTTGATCAAAATCGTGAATTGATGTTTCGAAATGTTGCCTGAATTTAAATTCTCAGGAAAGCTGGATGGCTTGATCATTATAGTCATTATACATCAAAGAAAAACAATATAGTTACTCTTTCACCTTCAAATTATTATCGTCAAAAGTGAGTGATTGAACTTAGCTATCATTAGGTTTTTAATTAAATGGGCTTATATCACAAAAAAAATTTATTTCATAATTCGATAGAACTCACCCAAACTAGCTCATCGCCGCAAACCGTTTCTTGCTGTGAACTCCCTACGTTTTATAAAAAATTATTTAAATCCCTGATTTTTCGGACCTCTGAAAACGAGGCGATGATGTGACGTCAAAACCCTAATACTGAAACAAGACTAGGTATTCCAGACAGAGATGAATGATACATGATTTCTATCAGAGTGCATTAGCGCGAGATCGGGAGATCGCATGCACAGTTGAAAGAATTAATATATATTAACTATGATGGCGAGATTAGGTTTCTACGTCATAAGAGGGTCCGTTTTCAGGAGGTACTATTATTTATGTCCAAAAATAAAACATTCCAGTTAATTTTTCGATCGAATTATGTCGTCGATCATTATTTATGTATAAAAGAATCATTATAAACATGATTTGAGTTAAAAGTTCTACTAAGGTGTACACGCCAATTGGACATGATTATCCCTTATTCTTAACACAATTGGTTTTGATTCATCACTTCAAAATCTTCCTTTCAACAGATAGAAGATACAACTGATGTTTCAAGATAGTATAAGTACATAGTTACTCGAATTTTTTTCATTTTACATATCCCTCCCAAAAATTCACGAGTCGCCACTGTTTTGTTATATTTATATAGGTGCTGTATAATAGCTATATGTATAGTTGCGGGTATAGCAATGATGGTGAATATTGTGGTTCTAATTTGATGGTACTGAAAATTTTTCTGAAATTTCCAGTAACCAACAGTTTATATATATATATACTTAACGTATCTTATACAGGGTGGGTACACTTTATTTTTCTTGCAAAAGTTTGCACGAAACGTTCCAAATTGACTTCACCGTCGCTTCTTTATATTCGGTCCCGTTTTTCTTTCTCATAATATTGACTGCCCAATCTTTTAGTATCAACGCCAATTCTTCTAAGCTTCTATATAGCATATATAGTGATTGATAATTGCACTGAATGCAATTATCAGTATAATGTTGGATTGATTGGTTGTGTTCAATCATGTGACCACAAATTATTTGATTTTATTGGATTTCTACTTAACCAAAACATTTTCTGAAATACAACTTACCATTTCTGAAA